TTAGTCTTCATTTCCTTACTTCTCATTCCTTGCCCACCAATTTTGATTGAACCCCCCAACATTTCAATGAAATTTTTACCATGAATTTTCCATGTTTCCAAATCCAGTGGCATCTGTTTTCACTCTACTTGACTTCCCTACAATATTCAACAGTTTCAAGCACTCACAGTTCATGAATGCACTCTCTCTCTCACTGCCCCCATACTTGTTCAGCCCTTATTTTAAAATGTCAGTTATTAAAAGGGTCAATGAAAAGATTCAACTCATCAATGAGCCCTGGCTGTGTGGCTCTGTGGATTGAGTGCCAGCTTGCACACCAAAGGGTTGCCAGTTCAATCTAGTCAGGGCACATGCCTGGGTTGTGGGCCAGGTCCTCAGTAGGGGGCATGTGAGAGGCAACCACACATGATGTGTCTCTCTTTCTCTTCCTCCCTCGCTTCTCCTCTCTCTAAAAATAAGTAAATAAAATCTTGAAAAAGAAAAGGTCAATATTCCATTAAGTATCATTGTATTTCTCTTAAAACTACTCACTTATTGTAAGATATTACTTATAGTAATTACCATTCATTTTAGTAATATATGTATTTTTAGAGTAAAATAGCTTATTTCTACTTTATATTTCAATGAAGTTCTTAAATTGATTTTAAAAACCTGTATGTATAGATAGGTTATGTTATTTTTGAATTTCATTTTAAATTAATAAAAATGGATTTTTAACATATTTGTTAGAAAAGGTTGGTGCTGGTCTCGTGGGATTGAATTTCTGCTCTAGTAGTAAAAACTTCCCCATTGTAAAGAGTCAGGGAAGTGACCCAGTGCAAGCAAGCTTCTGTATTTCCAAGGGCCCACTTCACTGCTTTTGGAAAAGATTCAGCTCATCCAATAGCTGAATGATAATTTGTCTCTTTAATTAATATGAGTTATTTTGGTTGCTCCTCAGCTGTTATGTGAGTTACCTGAATAGTGACTTTTCATCAAAATATTTTATCATTTCTTTTCATACTCAACTCTCCCAGTGTTTTGTGTGGGAAGACACAGAGTAGAAAACCAAACCTCTAAGCACAAGATTATTTTTCTCATTGACAATTATTTGTAGTGAAATTGTTTTCTGGCCATGGTTCTTTTTTTAGAACACCATTATCATGGGCTCAGAATGGCAAGGCCATCTTTTTTATTATTGTTCCAAGAAATGGCTTATAGCCGTTAGTATGCTTTCTGCACATGGTTTCTACCTTGAGCAGGAAAACAGTTCTGCCTGCTTCAGTAGAAAAGCTTGACAGCATGATGGGTGGTTTCTGAAGAGTTATTGTTTTCCCGATGGACTCAGAGCTCATGTATGAGACCAGCAGAGGGCATCCTAACAGGGAGCACAAAGTGTATGGCCTGGCCTCTGACTTTAAGAAAACAAGGTAATTCTCTGGCTGGTATGGGCTGTGGACTAAGTGTTGGCTGTGAACCTAAAGGTCACTGGTTGGATTCCCAGTCAGGTGACTGGGTTGCTGGCCAGGTCTCCAGTTGGGGACATGTGAAAGGTAACCTATTAATGTATATCTTGCACATCAATGTTTCTCTCCCTCTTTCTCTCCCTCCCTTCCTCTCTTTAAAAAAAAAAGAAAACAAGGTGGTTGCAGCCATATGGGCAGTATGCAGAGTCATAGCTCACCAGGACAGCCAGGGCACCTGGGTCCTGGAAAGATTCATGGGGCAGCAGAGAGAACTGTGTCCACTGGTTTGTGGGCTGCTGACTACAGCACTGCAGAACAAAAGGACCCATCCAAGTTCTTGTTACTCAGAGTCCCTGTTACAGAACAGACCCAAGGCGGGTGTATGATATACTATTATCAAAAAGGACCCCTCACTAGGTTCACTATGCCTGCTGCCAGATGAAAGACGTCTCTCAATGCCAGAGATTTGTGAAAAGGAAAGGAAATATTTACTTAAAAGCTATACAGACTTAGTATAGTGACTAAATGTCTTCATTAAAATACTGAAGTCTTATAGAATACCCACAGACACACACAGTCCTTCCTTCTCACTCTGCCCTAGTCTGGGGTACCGTATTGTAACAGGGCACAGCCAAGAGGGGGGCCCCAGAAAAGGATTTGGGATGGGGTCCAGAGTTCAGGGTGTCCAGGAAATATTAAGATGTCCTCACCCCCCCCCCCAGGGGGAAGGGACGAATGGAGCAGGGCCATTGAGAACTATTTTGCATAGCAACTGTTTAGCAGCTAACCTCTGGAATGATTATTTAACATATCTATAACCTTTAACTGGTTTCATAGATATGTTAAATAGCTGTGGCCAAGTTTTGAGCCAGGGAGAAGGGAGTGGCTTGTACCCAGGATATAACTAGGGGCTGAGCCCCTGAGTTACAGTGTCTGCGTGATAGCCTGGAAAAAATGGGTTCCAGGACATGAGGCGATAACTGCCCAGGTGAGGAGGGAGCCACGAGGTTTCAGCAAAGTAAGGGACCTCCTCTTGGTGAGGTGAGAGAGCCACGTGGTCTTAGCTGAGTTAAGACCCCCTCTTGCAGAGGTGAAGAGGAGAGGAAACCATGTGGTTTTGGCCAGAGTGCAGACCCCTGCAGCAAGGTGAAAGAGAGAGCCACACAGTTTCAGCAGAGTAAGGATCCCCTCTTGGCCAGGTGAAGAGAGAGCTGTGTGGTTTCGGCAGAGTGCAGACCCCCTCTTGGTGAGGTAAAAGGGAAAACCGCGCAGCTTTGCCAGAATGGAGATCCCTGTAGCCAGATGAAGAAGAAAGACACATGCTTTTGGTGGAGTGTGGATCCCTGCTGCTTTGGTAGAAGAGGCCCATTTGTGAAGAGGAAACATTTTGTTTCCTTTTCACAAATCTCTGTCATTGAGAGATGTCTTTCCAATTGGTGATATTAGTATTCTGTCCTTGGGAGGGACTCCTGTTCTGTAGCAGTTTTTGGCATCCCTAGGGGGGCCAGATATTGCCCCTTCTTCGGACCGCTTGTTCAGTAACAGTTTCACCCCTTTTCTTCTAGGCAAGGTTTCTCCTCCTTCCTAAGCCACATGGCAAAAGAGAGCACCCCAAAGCCACGTGGTCCCCATTCTGCCAAAGCCACTGGTTCTTGCTTTCCACTGCCACAGCCGCCTGGTCCTCTGGTATGGCTGCCATACCTGGCGTTTAAATCCCTGTGCCAGTCTTCCTCTGCAGCATCATTTCTAACTCTTCCTACAATCAGTTACACCTGCCAGTATTCCTGTATTCCAGCTTTACTGGGCTGCCATGGTAAATCTGGGCAGGTGTGGCCACATGGTGTGGAGCCAATCATCTCCAAGCTCTCATGCAGGTGCTGTTACTAAGGGGAGTTGCCTCCCAGTTACATCTTGGGAGAAAGTCACTCCCATCTCTCTGGCTCAAAGCATAGCCACAGCTATTTAACATATCTATGAAACCAGTTAAAGGCTATAGATATGTTAAATGACCATGCCAGATGTCAGGAGCATGGCCAGCAACCTTCCCTTGACAAGGTTGCAACAGTTGAGATGCATCTGCAAGGCAGAGGCAACTGTGGCTGGATTTCCTGTCTATCTCTCCTTACATGTTTGTTTTGGTGATCAAAAGGTGGTGAGATTGTTAGACACCTGTATTTCAGGTTCATTGATTCGCATAATTCCAATAAAGTTGTGCAAAATAATTTCTTGACCAGAGAACAACGTCCCTGTATGTCCAAAAGTTGTTAGAGTAACAGCCCCTCCTTTACCTTGAATAGGAATATATATCAATTAGATAGCCAAAGAAATAAGAAAAGCTGATTAGCTATTACAAACTAAACACATCAAAACAATTACCAGGGAGTCAGAGTTCATAGTACACAGAGAAACATTTTAGACAAAAAAATAGATACCTAAGTTAGACATCACAAAGGCCTTATAATAAATTTCCTATTGCCTCTACTCAATCTAGCATCTCCTTTTGCCCCATGACAAATTCTGAAAAACTTTAATAAAAGACATTCAAACTCTGTACATACAGCTACTTCTAATTGTCTGATTTATGGCTCTCCTGGTCAAAACAATCTTTGTTTAATATAACTGAGTCTATGGGAACTTTCGTACTTTTCCTGGGTACCTTTGTATTGATTTTTTCTGCTTAACTGATCATGCTATGCACCTGCAAATGTTAATCACTACCAAAAATGAAAATATAAAAACCTGCTTGTACTTGCAATAAACGGAACAGAGCTTCACTGTCCTTTAAGGCGTGTTGTCATCTGCTACCCACTGCCGACGCCTTACTCACCTTTCAGAAACCCCTGGGCCCTGCTGAGGCTGAACCGCGGCAGCCAGAGGTTAGCTGCAAAGTGATTGCTATACAACAGAGCTCCCAATGGTCCTGCTCCATGTGTCCCATCCCCCAGCTCAGCCTTATGGGGTGGTGAGGACATCTTACATATTTTTCTAATATTACCTGGACACCTTGAGCTCTGGACCCCATTACAAATCCCTATTTGGGGCCCCCTCCTGGCTGCACCCTGTTACATGTCTACAGATCAACACCATCCATGTCACTTGGGAGCTTATTAGAAATGCAGTCTCAGGCCCCATCCCTGACCAATGAATGAGAACCTGTGTGTGAACAAGACCCTAAGTGACTCACATGCACATTATATTTCTAGAGGCACTGCTGCTCTAACCTACATTCAAGGCTGCAGTCCTCAGACACAGCACAGACACTGCTCCCTCCAGGAAGCCTTCCCAGCCCCTCTCCTGGCATTGGGCACTCCTTTCACGTCCCCTTGCTCTTTGTCATTTGGATCTTGCAGGTGTCTTTACCGGTTTGTGGTTGTAGATCTGCATGTCTGCTCTGCCCTTTTCTCCGAGGGGAGCTCTGGCCTAGATCATCCTGTGCTCACCATGCATGCTGCCTAACTTCAAGCAAGCTCCAGTTACAAGACGCATCAAGCCAATGAACAAAGGAATGAGTGGGTGGGCAGGTGATTGACAGGACAGAAATAAAAGCCTGAAACGCACAGAAGGGTAGATGTTTATTTTTGTTGCTTCTTAGACAAGCTCAACAAGGTAAAAATTAGACTTTCAGAGGCATACATTTTGAACATCAACCTGACGTGGCATTTAGGATTCCCAGAGCATGTTGGTTTAGGCACTTTTATACCCAGAGGCACATAGAATTTCGCAGGCTCTAAGGGAGTGATAGGCTCTCTTGGGGATGCTGTTGCCAACTGCTTGGTGAGGAAAGGAAGAGAAGCTGCAGACACAAGTCAAGGCCAAGTCCATAGCCCTCCATAACTTTTATGAGCTGGTTATCCAGTTGGCAGGTAGGCAGGTCCTTTGTTATCTGTGCCTTCCTGCCACCCACCTTGGCATCCTTTCCCTCCTGAGGAGCACCTGTAGCAGGATGTGGGTGTGAAGGGGAAGGTGCCTACTGGACTTTGTTCTGTCAGCATCTTTGGTATAAAGAATAATCCCAAGGCCCAGGGAAGCTTGGACAAGGAAGGCAGCCAATACTGACTGAAGTTGGCAATCCTAGGTGGGTTCTAGCTGGCGACATTCTCCCTGTTACCTGTTAGCAGGAAACTGCTGAGCCCTCTTTTTGCCAAGCAAGGGCTGAAACCTCTGCCTCACCTGCCCCTTTGGAGAGATTCTCTCTAAGGCCACTCCATCAGGGCCAATTTAGGAGACAGGCACCTGCCACTCAGTGTCGGAGCAGCAGACAGAAAATATCTGCAGGAAGCAATAGCTTTGCAGCACTGCCTTCCGGCCATCAGTCACTGGCTTAATGAGATATTCTTGCATTTGGCTTTTTTCCCCTCTTCACTGAAGGACCCTGATGCACTTCATAGACCTGAACTCACAATGCCTCCCCCGGGAGGCAGGGGCACCCTCTCACTCCAGCACAATCTGCTCAGCCTTTGCCCGCTGGACTCTTTGTTCACCCTAACATGCCCTCTGGCCCAGGAGATCTAAGAAATATGAATGTGACCCACAGCCCCCCACTAAGAGTAGAGTTCACTGTGCATCTCACTGATATCAGGATCTTACCCTCTTTGTGTTCAAGGTGCTTTTTCTGTGGAAATGACAGGAGCCGGGTGTTGCCAGGAGCCGGGTGCTGTGGGCGTGGGGCTCAGTGGAGAACACTTGTTCACAGGGGAAGTAAAAACAGTTTCAGTATGAATCAGTGAGGATGGTATATGATTCAGGGGCACATGTCCTATGGCCCTGGCTGTGGTCCAGCCTCTTAGGCTTTGGGGCAGAATTTCAGGGTTGTAGCTTTGGTGGAGAAGACACTCCCGGCTCTTTTGAAATGTAACTGTTCTTTAAGAGGAACTTCGACCAGTGTGGTTTTCTGGGTGCTTGGAAGGCAAGCTCTCTGCCCTGTAGCAGCACAAGGCATTTGAAGAGATCCCAGTGTTTTTCCACAGGACCGATTTAATGAAGACATCCAGTTCTTCAGCCCCCTGGGCAGGCTCAGGAAAGGCTCCCTGTGACTCTGAGCGCTCTGCCCTGCATTCTCTTCCTCTGCACTGACTGTTAGAGGGCCTGCCCCAGGCCTTCCTGGACACATTCACACTAATGATATAAAAGTGAGAAGGCACACTGGTCGAAAGAACAGTCATCGCCAACTTAAAGGAAGCGAAAAAATTACACTTGTTCTCAAGATGGGGTTCATTAGTGGCTCCGGGAAGGAGGTGACTTCACACTCCCACAAGAGGACCAATTTGTAGCCACAGTGGTGACTTCTGACTTTAAGGGAAAAAACTCCCAGTTTAGGGAGGATTAGGGGGAGCAGCTTCAGCCCCAACCTCCCTTCTTACACTCCTCCCTGGCAAAGGAAGGGCCTTCAATTGATTGCCAGGGCACAGACACCAGGATTCCCTCTCCACCCACCCCTGCTCCACCCAAAGGTGGTTGGTCAGGGAAGGAGCTGCACCCCCTTTTCACTAGCGACTCTTCTGCTTGATGCCAGATGGAGTCAGGCTCTAGGCCGAGCTCATGTCTGCCACCACCTTAGAGCCCCAGCTCTCCAAAAGCCTTGGGAAACTAGCAAAAGAGGAGTGGTAGGCACAAATGAATTGATTCCACCAAGGGACAGCCCCTCATTGCCTTTTCTGTGCAAAAAGTGTTTGTATATCTCTGCAAGTGCCACAAGAACGTGAGCTGCTGTTCTCCTAGCATCTGGCACTTGCTTTTAAATCTACAAGTTGAAATCTTAAAGACTCAACATTTTAGCTGAGTATAATTGCAAATCCTGATATATATAAATGAAATATATATGAGCCTATATATCACACGCACGTGTGTGTCATTCTGAATATTACTGAATACATAAGCATCCCAGGAATTCGGACCTCAAACCACCAATTTGTGCACAATTACACCATACTGCTCAATCAGGGAAAAGAGGTCCTGACAGGCTCAGGGCACTGTCCTGCCTGCATGTGGTTTCCAAAGGCAGATGCAAGCTCCTCATACATGGCTTGTCTTCTGGGTAGAGGCATGGTCCATTGGCAGTGTGAACTTGACAGCACTGTCCTTCTCCCAGCCCCTCCGGATCTTGGAGAGTCTGCGGCTTAAGCAGGGCAGGAAGAACAGAACCTTGGCCAGGATGACGACACAGGGCACCAGCAGCGTGAGTGTGAAGGTGGGAGGCAGGTAGAACTTGTAGCGGCTCTCCTCAAAGGCGCGGGTCCAGCCGTAGGTGAGTGTGTGCAGGGTGCTCAGCACCAGGGCCACAAAACCTAGAGTGGACTGCAGAAGAAAGAAGGCTGGAGTGAGGGCGAAGGGATGACGGACACAGTGATTCCACCACTGGGTCACTAGTTGCCCACAGAGGGAAAGGAAGGAGTGCGACTTTAGCAGTCAGGGCTCTGGGTTCAGATCCCTACCCTGTCACTCACACAGTACATGATCTATCACTACCTAAACGCCCTGAGCCTCAGTGTCCCCGAAAGAAAAACAGGAATAATGTTCCTACCCTTAAGGTATATAAAGATTGATTCACAAGGATTCAATAAAATTACTGTTATTCATACCTTTGGACACTGAGCGTGGACCTCATTTTATTTTATTTGACTTTAAATAATTGTTTATTTTTCAATTACAGCTGACATACAATATTATATTGGTTTCAGGTGTACAACCAAGTGACTACACACTATACAGCCCACTAAGTGATCACCCAGATAAATCCAATACCTACCTGATATTATACATAATTATTATAAGAGTACTGACCACATTATCTATACTGTACATCCCCATGACCATTCTGTAGCTGCCAATTTGTACTTCCTAATCCCTTCACCTCTTTCACCCAGCCCCCCCCAAACTCCCTCCCATTTTGCCAGAGGACTTTAGATGTTCAAAGAAGTTTAAAAATATTTAAGCAGTTTTGTGTATGTTTTAGTGTATATTAGAGTAAACAAGTGCCTACCAGCACACTAAGTCTTCATTTCACAGATAATGCTTGGCCTAAGCCCAGATAACAAGGAGAATAGATTTTAAGTTGATTTGAAGGTAAATGAAAACTAAAAAATGGACTTGGCACTTGGACTTGGCAACAGTAGCAGCTCACTGGGGCCTGAGGCCGGGTGACCTCACACTGTGTATAAAGCCCAGGACACCACACAGAAGCTCTTTGTGGGTGCTGGTCCCTCTCCTCCTGCCCACGCACTGAGTCATGAATACCAGGCAGAACTTACTCTCCTGCTGGAAAAGAGCTTAATGACCCCGGGGAGATTGAGACCTTTGCAAATCCTAACCAAAACAGTCCAGGCCAGGCTACAGCGGAGTGCCCCACCCCTTAAGCCACACACCAGTCACTTCCAGCTGAGGTTAGCTCTTGGTCAAGTGCCTACACACAAGTGTCTGTGGGAACCACACGTGAGAATAGCTGGGAAGTACTGCTCTATAATTCCAGCCTCAGGAACCTTTTGTATGTCAGGTTTCTTTTTCTTTTCTTTTTTTAAATGAAAGCTTTATTTGCTCAGTACACCAACTAGGGTGCAAGCACTATTAAGACAAATACACAGAAATAGGCAGATCAAAATAAAACAGTAATTTAGTTTAAATGAAGAGAAGTCTCTTTAAATGACAACATATTCCCAAGAAGACTCTTTTCTTAAGCTAATTATTTCAATAAAATAAAGGATATGGATTAAGTGGAAGTTAGCTTGTGAATTTTTCTTAAAAATAAAACTCAAACTCTATTAATATATGCCACTTAAACACTAAAACTAAAATTTCCAAATAAGAGCAAAAGGAGCTGAAAGGGTTAGTTAACATTTTTTGCTTGAACAGCCCACAGGAAAATGGTTACTGCAAATACAGCAGGCAGACTGTTAACACTGATTGACCTGGAGCTGCACTAAACTTGTCTCCATGCTTGTCACTGTGCTAAATGCTCCCTATTAGTATGTGTGGCACATTTTGGTCCATGATATAGTTTAATGTCAAGACAGATCCCAATTTGTTACAGATATATACACAATTTGTTGCTTGTTTTGTTTCTAAATATATATATATTTATATACACATATATAAAAATATATAACATTTATATAATGATATAATTTAATATATAAATATGTAAACATAAACATAATATATGAATATATTTGTATATTTATACACACATATATGTGTATTTTTAAATATACATATTTTAAAAGCAGTAAAATACAATACTGCCACATACAAAGGTTTCTGCTGAACTACAAATGATGCACTCTAGATTCTACCACTGGTGCTGGTCTTGACGGGTGCTGTGAACCTGGGAGAGTCACTCAGCCCCAGTGAGAAGTGATTCCAAACACTGAAGTTGGAGATGTAGGAGTACTGCTGTGTAGACCAGCATTCTCCAGATCCCAGAGAAGGCAGGTGGATGGAGAGGACAGTGCAACGAAGGGTGAGGCTTTAGGTGGGCAGGGAGGAGAGGCATGGGCAAGTCTGACTGATTCTGTAAGCACCAAGGAGGATCCACGGAGAGATGGAGGGCAGGAGAGACCTGTGTTTTTACATAATGAATGAAAATAGCAGTGATTGATCAAGCAGTGAACACAAATGCACTTTCTCCAAGGACACAGTGCAAAGGTTTCATTGAAATGTGGCAGCATAATGGTGCCTCAGGGTCCTCTTTATAGGTCAGTTTTGAGTTTTCTACAGAGAAGCTGCAATTGGGCCTCTTGGATTTCCTTTCAGCCTAGCCTGTTAGCACTGAGCCAGAGGTTTGGCTAAGAGACACTGTCTTGTTTGCGTTCCCCTCAGAACAGACGTTTAAGTGGGTTTGATTCTGTTACCGTGCCTCAGTCTCCCTCCTCCCCAGTGTCGGGGAGCTTTGCTGGTACCTGCTCCAGTACAAACACCAAGATGGTGAACCTCAGTAAATGGAGGAACATATTTTGGAAAAATTGCTTATAATGCTTTTAATAATATAATAATAAACATTTTCTAATGGCTATTTGTTATAAGTTCATAGAAAGATTCCCAAGTACAACATTTTTGACTCCAAATAAAATACTAGCTGCCAAAGATCCCCAATCTCTGCCCTTCCTAGCCACTTCTGGCCATTCTTGGTTTTGTGACCACATCAAGGATGCTTTTATCCCATCCTTAACAACTTTCTGGCTTAACATAGCCAGTTGGGAAAAGCTATGGTTGATTCTGTGCCACTACCCAGTTCTGCCATGTGTCGTGTTAAAATGGCCGGTCCCCAAATTGAGAACTCTTTGGCTGTGAGTCACATGTAACCAAATTCTTGTCAATCCCAGATGAATCTATCAAAATTCCAAATCTCCTAGCAAGCTGTGAACAATACCAACCTTTTCTAAGTTCTGATCTATTGATATAGAAGAAAACTGGTTTTCCAAGCTCTGAGAAGATATTTGCAAATCATATATCTGTTGAGGGATTAATATTCAGAATATGTAGAGATATCTGAAACTCAACAAGAAAAACAAAACACACAACACAATTCAAAAACAGGCAAAGGAATTGAATAGAAATTTCTCCAGAGAAGATATATGAATGGCCAATAGCACATGAAGAGATGTTCAATGTCACTAATCATTAGGGACAGGCAAATCAAAACCACAGTGAGATATCCATTAGGATGGCTACTATAAAAAACAACAGAAAATTACAAGTGATGGTGAGGATGTGGAGAAATTGAAAACAAGTGCACTGTTGGAGGGAATGTAAAATGGTGCAGCCATTGAGGAAAACAGTATGGCAGTTTCTCAAATAATAAAAATAGAATTACCATGTGATCCAGCAATTTCACTTCTGGATAGATATCCAAAATATTGAAACAGGGTCTTCAGAGAGATGTGTATACCCACTTTCATAGCAGTGTTATCCACAGTAGGTACAATATAGAAGTGCCTATTGACAGACGGATAATATTCTTATATTATACTAAAGTATAATATATATTACATATATGAATATTATCAAGCCTTAAAAAGAAAGGAAATTCTGGCACATGAGATAAGGCAGTCACAAAAAGACAGACACTACATGACTCCATTTCTGTGGGGCACCTGAGTAATCAAAATCAGGGACAGAAGGAGAATGGTGGTTGTCAGGGGCTGGGGGTGGGTGTGCCGGAGAATGGGACATTCTTAGTTAACAGATACAGAGTTTTAATTCTGCAAGATAAAGAGTTCTGGCGGTGAATGGTGGTGATGGTAGTACAGCATTATGATTGTACTTAATGCCTCTGACTATATGGTTATATAGAAATGGTTAAGGTGATAACTTTTGTTATGTGCAATTTTACCCCAATAAAATAAATTGAGGTGGGAAATAAGAAGGTCCCAGCATCGATCATCAGAAATCAGACTCAAACAATCCCGATGACCATCCTGATAGTCCCCAACCAGCAACCCAGCCCCAAACCCTTGTTCCGCCTACTCCTTTGGGTTTATGGGGTTTGCTGAGATGGCTGGGAAATGGCTTTTATCCATGAGAATTTATCATAGTTTGAGACTGTGGTTTTCAAACCTGGCTGTACATTAAAATCACCTGAGGAGGTTGGGAAAAGATATTAATACCCAAGGCTCAGGCATCTAGAAAGAAGTTTGGCAATTATGTTAATGTGTAGCCAGGACAAAGAACCACCAATTTGGGAGATTCTCATCATGAAGCCCTTTTAGCTGCAGGTTAAGTTCTCAGCTCCTCTGCACAGGCCATTAGTTGGGATGAAGCTGGACCTATCTGCTCCTTCGAAGAAGACCCACTAAGGGCCTTGATGTGCTCAGACTCTGCATAATGGGGCTGCCGAGATGCTGCACCAATGAGAACCCACTCAGATCTGGGATCCTAGCCCTGGTGACCCTAGTGAGGCCTCAGCATCTCCCTCCGTGACATGCCCGGGAGCCACTGTCCCCAGCACCTAAGTGGAAAGTGGATTGTGCTGGGCATGTGGGACATACACAGGGAGCATGGAACTGGGGCTCTGGTTCATACATCCTCATCCTTTTGCCGCCCCCAATCCCATAGTGAAAGATGGCAGGAAGCCCCATCCAGGGGCAGGGTTCACAGAGAGTGCTGACACCCAAAGGCCAGTCAGCAACAAAGGGACTTGCAACCTTCCGATCCCAGTGAAAACCTGTATGTTTCCAGCAAGTTTGTTTTCCTAAACTCTGTCTCCTTGGGAACAATTTAAAAACCCCAGAACAAGCTCTGGCTGGTGTGGCTCAGTGGATTGAGTGCTAGCCTGCAAACCCAAAACCCCAGAACAGCCAAAA